AGCACACTAACAAAAAAAAAAAAAAAAACATCCAAGTAGTTAGTAACCAAACTTTTGTTTTAGCCATAACTAACTTAAATCATCAAAACTTTAAATGCAACCAACATACAGAGATAGCTCCTATTAACCCCAACAAGAATATGTAAATAAAGATTGGGTTTTTATATTTCTGAGATCTGAGTATATGGAGAGGGTCAATTAGAATATAACCAAAGGCTTCATGCATGTACACTACTACTGAACAACATTCCCAGCCAGAGACCTGTTTTGTTTTGTTGGGTGGAATAGCCCAGGCAAGCCTAGACTCACTATGGACCCCAAGCTGACTTCCAGCTCTAGACAATTCCCCTCCTTCAGTCTCCTGAGTGCTAGGATCATAGCCATACACCACCACTTAGCAAAGGACTGATTTTTGACAATATAAAAGCAACACATCACAGTGCAGCTTTACAAAATTCACTTTAAGAGAAACTAGACAATAGAGGATTAGAAGATCTGACAATTCTAAAAGAAGGTATCAGGAATCAGTCCAACAAAGGCAAAAGAGCCTGATGGAATCAAAAGTTTGGGCTATGTTGACTCAGCTGGCACGTCAGAGGGACATGAAGCACATGAAGGGAAGAGCTCAAACAAGTCCATACCCATAAAAGCAAGTAACTGCTGGGTGTGGTGGTACCAGCATTCAGGAGGCAGAAGCAGGTGGGTTTCTGAGATTTTTGAGGTCAGCCTGGTCTACATAAGGGAACTCTAGGGCTGGAGAGATGGCTCAGCGGTTAAGAGCACCTCTTGCAGAGGACCTATGTTCAATTCCTAGCACCCACATGGCAGCTAATAACCATCATAACTCCAGATCCAGGGGGTTCTACACCCTCTTCTGACCCCCGAGGGCACTGCACAACACAGGTACACATACATACATGTAGTCAATACACTCATACACATAGAATAAAATATATATATATATATATATATATGTATTTTTTTTGGTCTTTTTGAGACAGGGTCTCCCTGTAGCCCCAGCTGTCCTGAAACTCACTACGTAGACCAGGCTAGCCTTCAACTCACAGAGATCCGCCTGCCTCTGCAGGGATTAAAGGCGTGTACCATCACACCTGGCAGAATAAAAATAATTTAAAAAAAATTTTTTTTTCTTTTGGTCTTTTTTGAGACAGGGTCTCCCTGTAGCCCCAGCTGTCCTGGAACTCGCTATATAGACCAGGCTGGCCTTGAACTCACAGAGATCCGCCTGCCTCTGCCTCCCCTGGGATTAAAGGCGTGCACCACCACGCCCAGCAAAAACATTTTTTTGAGGGAGCACCCG